AACGTCACATCGGCAATATTTCAGCCATATCGTGACGAGAATTAATACATTAAGAACATATAAGTATATATACTTTATAAAAACCTGTCATCAAAGGACAGTACAATAACTAGAATATCACAGAGTGTATTCAAACTAGTTGAGGAACATATAAAAGCAGAAAGAATTAACAACACAATATGAAAAAGGGCTATAGATCGCCAGCAACTGACGGTAGATCACCATACTGGGGACCATGGGGACTTACAGTACCTTTGCTACCTGCATAGACCCCAGCAGGATGCGTACCAGATGAGGTCGTTACCCTCAGTATACGGGTTCCGAGCCGACCAGACCTTGTTTTATACTCTTGATGCCGAGCGCCAGGAAGGGTAACACGTACCATCTGTAAGGTGAGTGAGTGAGTGAGGTTTTACGCCGCTTTTAGCAATATTCCAGCAATATCACGGCGGGGGACACCAGAAATGGGCTTCACACATTGTACCCATGTCGGGAATCGAACCCGGGTCTTCGGCGTGACGAGCGAACGCTTTAGCCTCTAGGCTACCCGACCGCCCCGTACCATCTGTTAACATCTATTGGTGTGACGCGACCTTGGATCGGAGGCGGTTAAGCAGTCTCGTAGAAAGGCGATCTTAGCGCCGGCTTATACAAGTGCGGCCCTATATTATTGAAGCGAAACTCTGGACTTCAAGGCGTCTTAGAAACAACTCGATATCTTTCCTATATCATATTCTATAATTTCATCTTTTTACCAATAGATAAAAACATACCTTCATTAACTTGACAATGCTGATATTTAACATTCACTTACACCATATCCCGTGCCGCCTCCGTGGTCTTGTGGTAGAGCGTCCGCCCGGAGAGCGGAAGGTCCGGGGTTCGATCCCCGGCCGCGTCATACCAAAAGACGTTAAAAGATGGTACTTGTTGTTACCCTGTCTGGCGCTCGACATTAAGGGGCTAAAACAAGGACTGGTCGGCTCGGAGTCAGTATACTGTGTCTGAGTGGGGTATTCATGTTAAACTGCGGCATGGTATCTCAGTGAGCTAGCACTATAAATCGGCATCAGTCCGGAATAGTACACGCAGCCACACACACACACGTGCATGCACGTCGCTATATAAGTGCAATAATCTTGGACGCGACGTTAAACCCAATTTCACCTCACCTCACCTCACCTACACCATATCCCCTAAAGATATTTTGTAAAAAAATGGCTTAACAAATTGTGATGACACCAGGTGTTCCCGAAAAGGTGGGCGTTTCTTGCTCCATTAGTGACACCCGTCACAAACACATGCAAAGGCAACTCAAGTGTTCATCTGAACAAACACTGGAACATACGGCTAAAGCCAAAATAGGGAATTGCATCGGAAGTCATTTTGGACACTGATGCGTCAAATGTGGAACTGTCCTCCACATGTCTACGATAGAGCCCTTTGCCAATGTAACAGTGATGAAACAACACTAGAGCAAGAGGCGTATGAGATTCTTTGAAATATAATCGCAGAAAAGCATGCTCGATTGTACTTGGAGTGAAAATTGTAAATAACAGACATATGGTATTTAGAAACTAATAACCTATTAACAAATATTCAATGTGGTTTTAGAAAAAATAGAAGTACAGTTGACCATTTGGTTAGACTCGAAACAACATGCCGTATCAATATTTTTCGATTTAGAAAAAGCGTATGATATCACCTGGAAACATGGAATTTTTAAAGATCTTTATGAAATGAGATTGAGAGGGCGTTTGCCAAATTTTGTATCTCAATTTTTAACAGATAGAAACTTCCAGGTTCGCGAGGGATCCACCTTGTCTGATTTTTACGATCAAGATCAAGGTGTCCCACAAGGTAGCATATTAACTTATGGTAACGTTGTTTAGCATAAAAACTAATAGTTTAGCTAAGGTTTTAAATGACTCTGTTGACGGGTCTATGTTTGTTGACGATTTTAATGTATCATGTCGAGGTAAAAATATGCACACGATTGAGAGACAATTGCAACTTTGTCTGAATAAAATCAATGTTTGAGCAGAGCAGAACGGATTTAAGTTTTCAAAGTCTAAAACAAATTGCATTCATTTCTGTCGAAAATATAAACCACATAAGGACCCAGATTTACATCTAGCTAGAACTCCAATTAAAGTTGTAAAAGAAGCTAAATTTTTAGGAATAATTTTCGATCATCACCTAACTTTTTTACCACTTATCAAATATTTGAAAGCTAAATGTCTGAAGGCACTAGACTTATTAAAGGTTGTTTCTAATTCAAAGTGGGGATGAGATCAACCGACCATCCTTCATTTATATAGATCACTTGTCCGTTCTAAGCTCGATTATGGCTCCATCATCTATGGTGGAGCTTGTAAAAGTAACCTGAAATTACTTGATCCCATACATCACCAGGGTCTAAGACTTTGTCTTGGATCTTTCATGACTTCTCCCATTGACAGTCTGTTCGTTGAGGCCGATGAGCCGCTACTTAAACTACGCCGAACTAAATTATCTTTGCAGTATATCACAAAATTATATGCTTATCCATCTAACCCTGCGTACGATTGTGTGTTTAATCATCCTCTTTATGAGGACCTGTATATTAAGAAGTCCTCTTTTATTCCGCCTCTTGGAATAAGAATAAAACCTTTAATTTCTGCTGCTGGTATTAAACTGGAAAACATATCTCCTTTCCGCCTGCTTCCTTCATCTCCTTGGCAATGGGTAAAGCCACGGGTGGATCTTACATTATCTAAACTAAAACAATCGGACAGTAATCAACTACAATATCAATAGGAATACAATCAGTTAAGGTGTGAATATAACACTTACAAATCTATTTTTACTGATGGATCCAAGGATGGTGATGCTGTTGCCAGCGCCACCATCCTTGGATCAAGAACTACATCAACTAGATTACCAGATGACTCTTCATTTTTTAATGCAGAATCAAAGGCCATTTAACTGCTTTAGAATATATTAATAAACAATCTAAACATAAAGAATTCATAATTGTTTCAGACTCTCTCTCCTCTCTTCAGGCTATTAAAAACACTTCGTGTCAGCATCCAATTTTACTCGACATCATAGAATTACATAATAACCTTGCTACTGGCCAATGCGACATCGTCTTTTGTTGGTTACCAAGCCATGTTTGAATTGTTGGTAATACAATTGCTGATGTTGATCCAAAAGCAGCACTCGACAAATCTGTGACACCACTTCTTATACCATACAGTGATTATAAACCTGTCATTAGATGTTACATCAGAGATCAAATGCAGAAGAAGTGGGACACCCTAGTGGTTATAAATAAATTACATGCAATAAAAGCAAATATCGGTTATACCTACTTGGGTTGTCAGTTCAGATTTGAAGAGGTTGTATTAAGGCGATGTCGTATTGGACATTCTCGATATTCTCCTGAATATTTACTTAAAGGTGAGAATCCTCCATTCTGCATCCCTTGTGATGAAAGAATCACGGTCAAGCATGTCCTGCTTGACTGTATTGATTTGTCCATCACAAGGGATCAATATTTCAAAGTTTCAACTATGAAGGACCTTTTTACTCAGGTAAGTTCTCATTTTATTCTTAGTTTTTTTAAAGAAATCGAATTGTTTCATAAATTTTGATTATTATGCTTTTTAAATAAATAAAGTTACTTTTACAATTGGTAAAATAAATCAGTAACTGAGATTGTTAGTGGCTATATCCTTGAAGGGGGTTGAAGTAGTGTAAAATTATTGTCCCCCTGAGAGGGTATGTAAGACCACGTCTTTCAAAGTATATTTATTTCTACCACGTTTTTAATCGTAGCATATGTGTTATTTCAATGATTGCTTAATTTGTCAATAATCGCCAACAGCTGAAGGGATGATGTAAATCCGGCTGGGGCCCATGCAGGTAGCAAACGTACTGTAAGTCCCCATGGACCCTAGCATGGTGATCTCTCTTCTGTGGCTGGCGATCTATAGCCCGTTTTTATCTTGTATTGTTACGTATGGTGTTATATTTTTATGGCTAACTACTAGTTTCAGATATAATCTGTGGTAAATCTAGTTATTTTACTTTCCATCGTTGACCGGTTTTTATTTGGTCTGAATATGTGTATTATCAATGTACTTCTCGTCACGATATGGCTGAAATACTGCCGATGTGACGTTAAATTTTAACTCACTCACTCACTCCTCCAGCGACACAGGGACGCAACCCATGGCAAACGGGTTGCCCAATTAAGCCGCCTCATACGACAAGCAATGGGGTGCTGAGGACACATTCTACCCCGGGTACACATGGAGGAAGAGCGATTAGCGTCACCCAGCACTCACCACGGGGAGGTTGCTCAGTGAGCCTGATCACCCGATCCCGTTAGTCGCCATTTACGGCAAGCATGGGTTGCTGAAAACCTTTTCTTAACCGGTTGGTGGGTTGCTTTGTTGTTTAACGCTGCACGCAGCAATGTTCCAGCTGTATGACGGTGGTTTTAAAAGGATCCAGTCTGGTTGGTTGGTTGGTTGGTTGTTTAACGCCGCACTCAGCAATATTTCAGCTATATGACGGCGGTCTATAAGGAATCGAGTCTGGACCAGACAATCCAGCGATTGGTATCATGAGCATCGATCGACGCAGTTGGCATTCCATGACATGAATTAACCACGTCAGCGAGCCTGACCACCTGATCCCGCTAGACGCCTCTTACGACAAGCATAATCGCCTTTTGTGATATCACAGATATATTGTTCTGAAAGTAATGACAATATATATCAGCTATTTACGTTATGGTACATATCGGTACCTCAGCTGGGCACACCTTGGCTGATAGAACGGACAATGTTCCATACCATTTAATCTAGATGTGACACGCACGCACGCACGCACGCACGCACGCACGCACGCGCACACGCACACTATTACTTTGGATTTGTTCTACCCACGATTCGCAAGAGGAAAACACATAGAAATTGTTTAATCAGTTTATTCACTCCAAAGAGACATTAATAAATCATTTGATAATAAACGTGAATACCTTAAATATACACACTTAACTTCAAGGGTCAATAAAATAGAATCATCTTAGTATTTACACCATGTAAATTGTTTGATAGGCATTACTTAGAAGTTGGCGGATGACAAGGTAGACACAATAGAACAATAGATTACCTTTCACCAAATGTTTCGAGATTGCCTCGATAAATACTTTGAATGTATACTTGTTTTATAGACTAATGCCCTGGGGATGATCCAATAATACACAATATAGTCACTCTTAAGTCTATCCTCGTAATTCTTGTAAGTTTGTTTTTCGAGTAAGATGATGTTTATTCCATAGGATGGGTCTTGATATCTCGAGTGACATTTGTTTTATAGATGCGACAAAACCTTTTCCATGTTTCTGAGAAATATCTGCTAAAAGCAGGTTCGATTATACGATTCCGATTATATTATAAGCAACTGTTTGAGAATTAGCATGGAATAGTGATGATAAAAGTTCGTGAAAAGGTGACCGTATCATGCTCAACGGTCAAAAACACATGCAAATGCAAGTCATTTGTTCACCTAACACAAGAAACATGGGAACATGTGGTATAAGTCAAAATAGGGAACTGCACCTGACATATTTGTATATAGAGTGAGTGAGTGAGTGTTGATCATAAAGGAGATGGAGCTTCTTGCTTGGCGTTTCAATGAAAATTTAAAGTTGAACGTTTGTAAAACATAAATGTTGTGAAAGGCTGTACAATATTTAATGGAGGGTGATAAATACTAAAAGTAATAAACACCTCTAAAGTCACCGAGAAAGTGTAGTGAGTGAGTGACTTCACGAAGAGCGGGCTGCGCTGCATCAGACTATTTGATCATTCATGCGTCTGCTCAGTAGAGTATTCATACAGCGACAATCCATGATTGCACGTTGGCCTTGGCCTTGAAGTCGCCCTCTCCCGGCAAAGCTGCAAAGAGCTCACAGACGCTGTCTTGCTTGTTGTAGTTGATACTTTGACATCCTTCGATTTCGTGACACGCTTCAATGCAGTTGATGATGTTGGGAGCATTAAGCTCTTTGAACACTTTCAGGGCGTCGATCATACCTTTCAGAGTGCGCCGGAACTGGTGACGGACATTCTTCGAGGCCTCAGTTTCTGATAAAAAGACAACAAACAATTCTTATCTTATCCGTAAAACGGAATGGAATACATACGTCATCACATTTAGTGGTTGGCTTGTTAATCAGCCAGTCTGGAGAAGACTAACCAGTGACTAAAAGCCATTCAGTTGGAGCCTGATCTAGCGATTCATTTATATCAGCCTCTGCACGTTACTGGGGATGAATAATACCCTGGAAGTCAAATGAAGACCATGTACTCTTAAATAATATGCCCCCGTGAGAATTTTGTTCAGTTACTCATAACCTATGCTGTTCGTAAGAGGCAACCAAACTGATTGTGTCATCATTCTTCAAGGCGGTGGTTGCTCATCATATAAATAAATACACAGTTATGAGATGGCATACCAATGATCCAGTCAGCAACGCCTGTGAGGTCCAGGAAGTTGACTTTGTAAGTCTCGATGGATGTAGTTAATACAATTTCTTGCAATCCCACATCATGGCCGTGACCAATTTGCACCGTCAATCCCGCCCATTTGACCCAGAAGGGCTTGAAGGCTGCACAGTCGAGATAGGCTGATGTGGCGCCGTTTTGCACTGCGCAGTGGTGGCATGGTATCACAAAGAGACCTATATTTCCGCTTACGCCAATACGGATAAGTGCCTCGTTCCCCCCTTCTTTCTCACGAAGCGCAACGAAGAGATCCTTACAGCCTCGGACTTGCAGAAGCAGCTGATCCCTCTGGCTCAGATCAATATTTGTCGTCAGTTGGACGTCCTTTGTTTCTATGAAGGCTTTCCCAATTGTTTCTTTCAAAATACCTGGGGGTAAAAAACACACCATTATATTATGTGTTCTGTAGTTTGTTGAATGTCGGAAGAAAAATGTATTATTTTTTTTTTAACGCCACACACTCAATTTTCCAGCTATATGATGGTGGTTTGTAAATAATCCAGTAGGGATACGATGGCATGCATCAGCCAAGTCTGTGAACCTGACCACCCGTTCCCGTCCGTCGCCTCTTACGACATACATGGCTTACTAGACCAGTTCTAAACTGGATTTTCACAGGGGCTGGTCGCAGGGCACAGGATGCACCGAGTTTTTCTGTCTGTTGCGCCCCTTAGGATTGCCTGAAACCTGTGGTCATGGACATAAATGCCGGTTCGCCTTAGCTATGTTTCTAGGTTTGTCAGCACAATGCTCAGGCTTATGAGTTTCATCTCGATTGCTTAAGACTGTCGTCTTGCATTTATATGACTGAAATAATGTTACTTGTACATCTGAGTCGAAACTGCTCGATTAATATGCACGTAGTTGCAATATGTAACACACACTTTTGAGTCTTGGGAAACCTTCCGAATTCAGTACAACTGTTTCACAAAACATAGGTCTCAATTTTGAAGCAAAACTTGACATAGCATGAACAACAATTTCAGGAAAACATCTTGAATGCAAGAAATGGTTTCGTTTACCACCTCAAGTTGAGGAGTTTATATGTGCCTCCCGTCGTTAACGTCAACCTTAAAAACCTCACGATTTCCATCACATCTTGCTTGTGTATTTGAGAAAGTTTAACCAACCTTTGGTAGCCATAGTTTACCATCACTCTGTGCTTTGAGCTAATGACAGAAAACTAATTAGTGTCCTATCATTTACAAAGAGTTTCTATTCCCTTGGCTAAATATTTTCCTTCACGCGAGCCGAGATAAAAACTATTAGTCTCAAATAAGCAGATGTTAGGACAGCTTGCAATTACTAACGACGCTTGATGAGCTAAATAATGTATTTGAAAAAACAACAACATGTATCATTTTGTCCGTTCTGCATAAGTATTTGGTTTAGGTTTGGTTTGGTTTCTTGTTTAACGCCGCACTCAGCAATATTCCAGCTTTATGATGGCGGTCTGTAAGTAATCGAGTCTGGACCAGACAATCCAGTGATTGACATCATGAGCATCGATCCACGCAATTGGGATACGATGACATGCATCAACCACGTCAGCGAGCCTGACCACACGATCCCGTTAGTCGCCTCTTACGAAACGCGTAGTCACCTTTTACAGCCAGCATGGGTTGGTGAAGACCTATTCTAACTGGGTCTGTAAGTATTAAGTACCGTAGGAGACATTCTTGCAATTTGACTGGACCACAAATGTGGACGTACTTACCTGTTGTTACAATCAGACGCCACAGGAAGCTCAACCTGTTCATCTTGGACTCTCACACTACAATGACTGAAACTGGAGTAACCTGTGTTGATACGATGTTTTAATGTATGTGTGGTCGATAAGGGGTGTGGTGTCTAGCCGATCACTACATGTACACTCAAAGCATTGTCTTCGGAAATGTTTGAACAAATGATGCATGACACTTACACAGGACGACGCTTGCCATTGTTAAACACTCCTCATTACCTGCCACGAACACCGGTCTCAGGATCAATATCAATCTTTTTATCTCTTTGAGGTCAATTGTGCAAACATGTTCTTGCTAGATATGGGTTTTAAGTCAAGTCAAACTCACCCACAACAGACAAAGTGATGGGGAAGCATTATTATTATCATCTATGACCTGAGAAAATGACAAAGAAAAGTTTATTAATTTTCGTCTTAACAGGTCGGAATTATTTCAAGAAAAGGAAATTAGATTGTAATCTTGTTTTGGAGAGGAGAAAACTGACTAAATCGACCGTGTGCGTGTTTAACGCTGTGGTCAGGAATGCTCCAGAAATAAAGTAGGCTGTGTTGGACTCCACAGTGGTCGACAGCATGAGAATCGAGACACGCCACCTGTGCACGATGACACACAAAACGCAAGGCCACACATTATGGCCACCAGGTCTCTATTGGTAGGCTCTCAATACAAGCATGGGGTATTGAGTACCTCTCTGAGACCATGATTGTGGGTTCGAATCCTGGTTCGCCTCGATTATGTTTCTAGGTTTGTCAGCACCATACCCGTGCTCGTGGGTCAAAGACATGCATCATTTCGGGCTTTCCTCCCACATTAAGCTGACACGCCACGATATAACTGGAATACTGTTAAAAGCAGCGTTAAACCCAACTCACTCACTCACTCAGTGTTCTTATGCTTCCTGCGTGGACCCAGAAGTCGAACGGTCTCGAACCCACAATCATAGGTTTCTGGCGTGCCCAAGGGACGCAACTCTGCGATCGCGGCGCCTTAGACGACTGGGCCACCCGTGCCCCCGATTACGCAATGAAGTTAATGAGATTGTCCAAAACATTGTCAGTGGATGTCATGACTTGGCACAAACACAGTATCATAAACCACATGATGGAGTTCTTCGATCATTTTATTACTGTCTTCATCATACTTGTGGTTTAGACCGAAAGATCCATCCATGGTCCGACCCAGAATATGTAGAGGGCGTCATGGAAAATGGTAATACAAACTTCTATGGAATAGGCCCGGGTACAGCCTCAGGCCTGTTCAGGCCAACAAACCTGATCTTGTCCTTTTTGATAAATTCAATGAAATCATTTACATGTATATACAAATTAGTAGTAAATTTAGTAGTATCAACGTTCGTGATCGAAAATCGAACAACTACACGACAGGATTCAAACACGTAATAAAAAATATATATTCATATTGTTATGTTACATTGTTGGCGGAATATGTTTTCTAATCAATCAACCTCTAAAGTTTAACACAAAACAACTGTTACGGACTGTATGACCGATTCAAAATACTTTAAAAAGGGTAGTCTGGAATGGAAGTCGCAACTTTGAAACTGGTACCCAAAGCTTAAGAAAGCTGCTTTCTAAGTGGCTAACGTCGACTTCCTGTTGGTCATTTCATTGGTAGGTCATAGTTCGCGAAAGGTTGTTCTGACGTGACCTGTAATGGGACGTCCTCGTCGATAGCGAGAACTTGTATCTGATTTTAATAAGATTGAGGTGAATTATCCTGTTTTCTTTATTTAAAGCATGAATTGTTTATTGTTAAACAAGTCTGCAGCCGTTGTAATATGCAGCTACCAGACAAGGAGTACGCTGATCACTGTGTCGGATTAACGAGACTGATTAATGAGTGATTTCGGTAATTCGTTGCAAATTAGGTGTGTCGGAGTCGGAGTTCGAGACTGACGGATTAACAGTTCTAAATAGCACTGATGTAATCGGTTCCTATCATTAGTGTCAGATAAAGCCGAATGTCGGATTAACGGGACTTGACTGTAATTGAATTCTCTGTCCCTTTTGACACAAATTGGATTCAACAAGATTCAGGACAAACATGACAAATATCCGAACCTGGCTTTCGAAACGTCACGCTTGCATCCTAAGTACCAAGTTATCTGAGTCCCCATTGTTCTCGGTGCCTTGGGTTTGTACCTTCCAATCTGTTGAAGTAAGACGAGTTCTATGGATGAACAACTTCTTTATTACAATTAGTGCGACGTTTCGGTGTAGATCCGAACACCTTTATCAAGCAAGTGATGGGTAGGGCTAAACAACATAGGTATATATATACTTATTGACATGTAAGTTTATACAGTGACTAGTGATGGACACAGAGAGGTGATTAAGATAATGTGTCCATCACTAGTCACTGTATAAACCTACATGTCAATAAGTATATATATACCTATGTTGTTTAGCCCTATCCACCACTTGCTTGATAAAGGTGTTAGGATCTACACCGAAACGTCGCACTAATTGTAAAAAAGAAGTTGTTCATCCATAGAACTCGTCTTACTTCATCACACCAACTTCTAAATGCCACTCAAAGAAGTTCCAATCTGTTGTGTGATAATGGGAGAGTACCCGGGTTTGCTAGCAGGAATACAGCCCATCTGACAATCTGTGTAATGCAGAAACCTGTACATAGTAAGATTAAATGCTCTTTCTCCCATGATTGTTTTAAGGACTTGAAGGTCGCACTTGTGTTCTGATCTCAAGGATCTGCTGTAGGATGATGATATTGTTCCGATGTTGTGACTATTTCTTTTCATTAAAGTCGATAATGTCATAAAGAGGATCTTTGAGATTCCTGAAGTTTTGTTCTTGTGAGTGAGCCTGTTAAGTACAAGCTTAGGTTTAAGCATGGCTGTACTTGCTACTTGCTAAGTGATTCACACGTCAACAACATAGCTTACACAGACAGAGTGAGTGAGTGAGTTTGATTTTACGCCGCTTTTAGCAATATTCCAGCAATATCACGGCGGGGGACACCAGAAATGGGCTTCACACATTGTACCCATATCGGGAATCGAACCCGGGTCTTCGGCGTGACAAGCGAACGCTTTAACCACTAGGCTACCCGACCGCCCCTACACAGACAGAGTCGTACTGATTAAACCTATTCAGCTAAGATCAAAAGTGGCTGTTCTCTGAGAGGTGGTGTCAAAACAGGTTCATACAAACACTGATACAAATCACTTGTGATGGTACTCAGTGCAGCATCATTTATTCACAGATCTTTTCCGACTCACACGAAGCAGAAATTCTCTGGCTGCAAAGTTATTTCTTATTTATCGAAATCATTCACGTCCGACGTTCGCTAGCCACGCTACGGAACAGTCATGTAGGAGTAAAGAGGCGTATCTACAACAACAATGCTGACATAGGAATTATAACAGTCGCCACCTATGGCACCTATGATTTACAAAAACAGTCTTCTCTAAAACGTAAACGGCCAGTGGCCTAAAACATGGTGGGTAAGATGGTAACCTCGTGTACTACAAAGTATGTTCGAAGCTACCTCACATATTGATGTCACCAAGCCATGTTGGATCAAATAGAATACCATATCCACAAAACTCACTGAACCAATGAAACTAGACATTCTTGTTCCTATCACTGATGACGCCCGGAATTTTTTAAGAGTGAGTTAACATTTAATGTCACATCGGCATTATTTCAGCCATTTCGTGACGAGAAAAAGTATTATGTTCAAAATAGTTATATTTAGACTGTATAAAAACCTGTCGTCGAAGGACAGTAAAATAACTAGATTTTTCCGGAAATTTATTTAAAACTAGTAGATAACCATAAAACTGTAACACCATACTAAATACAATACAAGATGAAAATGAGCTAAAGATCGCCAGCCACTGAAGCGAGATCACCATGCTAGGGTCCATGGGTACTTACAGTACTTTTGCTTCCTGCATGGACCCCAGCCGGATTTACATCAACCTTTCAGTTGTTGGCGATGGCTGACAAATTTACATTAAAAAAACATATATGCTACGATTGAAAAACGTGGTAGAAATAAATATACTTTGAAAGACGTGGTCTTACATACCCTTTCAGGGGGACAATCATTTACCACTACCTTAACGCCCTTCGAGGACATAGCCCTGAACAATCTCAGTTATCACATTTATTCTGCCAATTATAAAAACTATATTATATACAAAACATATGTGTCATAATTTATGAAACAATTCTATTTCTTTTATAAAATCACTTATTAAACGAGTACTGATATTACAAAGATCCTTTATGGATGAAACTTTGTAATAGTTATCCCTTATGATGGCAAAATCAACACAGTCAAGCATGACATGCTTTACCGTGATTCTTTCATTACAAGGGATACCAAATGGAGGATCCTCACCTGTCAATATATATTTATGAGAATATCTTTTCTGCATCAAAGTACCAATATATGCCTTGATGCATTGCTTAAAATCACTGTAAGGAATGGAGAGATGGGACATTGATTTATCAAGAGCTGCTTTAGCTGCAGCATCAATACCAAGGACGATATCGTATTGGCTAGTAGCAAGGTTATTTTAAAGTTCTAAAATATCAAGAATTAATGGATGGTTCGAGTTGACAGTCGTAAGTGCCTGTAGGCATGATAAAGTATCTGAGAAAATGAGTGAGTAAAATTTAACGTCACATCGGCAGCATTTCAGCCATATCGTGACGAAACAGTTATAATAAGTATATCGAGATTGTATAAAAAGCTGTCAAGGATGGACACTATAATAACTATTGTACCACAGTTTCGATTTTAAAACTAGTTTAGAATATTTAAAAGAATACATTATTCTTTTAACAATAAAACATAAGAATGGGCTATAGATCACCAGCAACCAAAGTTAGGCCATCTTACTAGAGACGGTGGGGACTTACGATACTTCTGCTACCTGCACGGTTCCCCAGCAGGATTTACACCATCCCTTTAGCTGCTGGAGATGACACGGATTTGAGCCATCAATTAAAATAACAAAGATACTAC